AAAATGAATTGATTGATTCTCCCGGCATTTGTTTACGCTCTAACAAATCCCTCATTTCTTCGAAGCAAGTTCGTTTGGTCTTGAATCTTTCGCATAAGGCATGTTTTAGTGCATCCCATGTGGAAATATTATGGTTCATTTGCTCTAGCCAGAACCACTCGTTGGCGGGTCCTGAAACTAGAACATGGAACTCGTTGAGGATATCTTCCCATGCTAAATTATATAACTTTTGGAAGTGTTCCAACCTATATATGAAATCTTCGACTGTTAGACTATTGGGTCTGCCAGAAAAATTTAGCCCGAAGCGTTCTAACTTTATCCCTTGGCAATTATGGCTGCTTAAAATGGATGGAGTTACAGTGTGGCTTCGACTGAAACTGGGGTTATTCTCTCTTCTTGGCGGTGGCGAAGAATGTCTAAGGGTTTGGGCAGTGCTTGGCTGAGGAGTTGGGTCTTGCCCATTCACTGATAATCTACCTATAGTCTCATTCAGTTTGTCTATGACTGTATACACCTTTTCCATTTCCTTTTTAACTGTGTCCTGCACAAGGGACTGTAAATTTGCTTGTGCATGGTTTAGGCTGTCTTGTACCAGACTCCTCACAAGCTGGTCGACTTCTGCCGGACGAGTTGGTTGAAAATTTGGTTGGTTAGATATATTGGCCGAAGCACTGGTACTGGGATTGGGGTTATTGATAGAACCTGATAAATCCCGCACTACCGGATCTAAATTAGCCCTTGAGCTTTGCATTTTCGTCTCGGATTGTTTTTTCTTGTTTTTGGGTTTTGGTGATGAAATTGAGGTCCTGCTTATGTCGAACACTAAAGACCTATTTCGTTTCCTTCGTTTCTTGCCAGCAGTAGCTTCACTCATTGAATCTCAATAAACAGTTTAGAAGTTATATTTTTATTCTATTTATTTTTTGTTTAATTTTTTTAATTTTTTTTCTTTTTTTTTTGTTTTTTTTAATTTTTTTGTTTATAAAAAGGATATTCAAGATTAAGTAAAAAAAATAAAAAAGGAATAAATAACCGTGGTTAAATAATAGCTACAAAATAATTAAATTGACGTACAAAAAGGTTTTAATTATAATTAGAATATTAGAATGTATAGGTTAGATAAATAAATTAATTGATATACTTTATTTAGATTCTCAATACTACAAAGTTAGTTTTAAAAATCAACACGTAAAACAACAACTTAATTTAAAAACACAATTATTATTTTTTTTTTTCAAACACAATAACAAATACGAGAGCTTACTAAGAGTATTTTCAGTTGTTCGTGGATAAAGTGCGTGGGATGTTGCTTTATACAAAGAACATTAATTTTAACATAAAGTGGCCTAATTCGGCTGTCATGGTATATTGATTAGGTTGGACTTTACGAACATAGAACTAATATATTTTTTTGGTTTAGTACCATGGCATTTTCCTGGCGTCATAGCCGAAAAAAGATCTCATGAAAGGATTATAGTTTACGATACAGTCTGTGCCCAACATTGTCACAGCAGATATTGCAACTAATCCTGTACTAACCTAAATCTATTGTCATTACTTTAAAAAAAAATAAACACAGAATTATACTAACACAGGTCATACAAACAATACAATCTTTGTTACAATTAACGAACAAGAGCTATTGTACCAGACCCTATTAAAATGGAATGAAATATCCTAATTTTTCTACTACCTATACTAAATATTGCACGATTAACACAGTTTAGTTTCTAAAAAGTGGATACAATATCCGATAGATTTTAGAAAAATGCGATATTTCATTTTTAATCTATTTCACCCTATAGTATATTGCACAGTGCTTCGATGGTATTGCACATATTTAATTTTTTCTAATGTCTGGAAGACATTAATGCTTTTCATTGGGCGCCATATTGTTACATTCTGCCTAATGCGGCATAACGGTGGGGTTCCACACTAGCTCAGGTGGGAGCGTTTTTTATTCAGGGGGGATTTTTAACCCTGCCACCATTAACCCTAGGGAATGAACACTTTAAGGAACTTTGGATCAACACAAAACAAAGACGAATACAAACACAACATAAAACCATGACACAGGAGCTTGATGGAATCTGCTCCTCCACTTCGCCCACCCATCCTTGACCCTTTTGATCCTAAATTTAAATTGCAATATAAAGGGCCCCGTACACCACTTACTCACTTACAACATACTCTTAGTTTTGGCTCTCACACAAAGGAAATTAACACAACATATTTAAAATTTAAATTCTAACATAAAAACAATTTATTGAGCTGGTCATTTTCCTTAATAATAGAACAAAAAAACTTGAAACATTAATAACTATAAATTTTCTTCAAATTGCGAGTCATTTACACGGATTACCCTTTCATTACTCCAAAATTACTGCCAATTTAGGCCTTTTAAAAAAAAACACAATTAATACCTGCCTAAACGAGCTCTTTTAGGTGGTTTGGGACATTACTTTCCGTCCACAAACAAATTATAAATTCCAAAACCAAATTTCAAGGTAATTTGGGGCAACCCTACACTCAAATATATATGAAAGACAAGTAATTAATGTTCCTTACAAAAATTATTTAAAACATTTAGACAATACAACTTAACCTAGGTTATAACATACATATACGATTAAACTATTTATTATATATTTTTTTTAATTTTAAATTAACTTGTTTTTTTCTTTTGTTTGCTTTTTTTAATTTATATTCATTTTGTGCCTTTTTAAATTATATTTTTAATTAATTGAATTTTGTTCTTCTTTTTCTTTTTTTCTTAGATTTCAATAAAGTGGTGCATTGACGGTTTTCTCCAGGCAAGAGTAAGTATAAACCTTATTCTATTGTTACCTGGACTTAGCCAATATCATACCTCAACATTTATTTAACCTCTTTCAGGAGCACTTTTCACATTTCCTTCGGGGTAAGGCAGAACCCGAAACTTTCTTGGTAGTTGGCGGTTTTGTGATGTGGCCGAAAATAGCTGTTGACCTGGCCAAAATTTGCTGTTGCGTTGCAGTGGCCAATAAACGATCTGACCCCTCCGTTTTGCTTTCCGGGGAGGTCAGTTGACGCCTTTGAATATTTATTTGTTGGCGATACCTACAAACACAGAAAACAAATCACAAACCACTCATAAATTTACAGAATTACACACAACACAAAGACTTCACACTTACACTGCGTTTCTAACGCCCACGGCAGAATTAAAAAAAATATACAGGCGAATTTCAGCCTTTAATAAATTCAGTTTATTAACCAAAAAAAGGATTTTTGTTTTAATTTTCGAAAATAATTTAAGACAACTGTTAAGTGTTTTCGAGTGCACCACTGGGGAAATGAAGGAGAATTTTTCTTTTTGGAGCTTTTTATACTCCTGTAAGGACGCCGAATTTTCCCTCCTTACCAGGTTTTTCCTGATTTCCCTGACATTTACCAATTTTCCTTTGTCGATCTAGCCAGCCCTTAAACATATCGCAGGGTTGTATTTTCGATTAGCTCATTTCTTTGCTAATCGACTTCAATACAACCCTGCCAGTGGCGGCAATTCAAAATAACCCTGGGGTAGAACATTTCCGCTTCATTTTTTGGACGTGGGTTGAACTGGAGATTTGTTTGCGGAGTTTTGCATGGCATTTTTTTTTTTTTAAAAAATTCCACACGCAACAACTTTGTTCAACGAAAAACTGATTAGGAGCTCATGCGATACACCAAATTGCTCGTGATGATCTCCTCTTTCATTAGACATCGAGTTTATGGTGTACGTTTTTAAATTGAAGCTTCCAGATCCAGTTTTCTGTCCTGACCACCAGTTGGAAACCAGAAAATTGGAAACTTTGTTCAACGAAAAACTGATTAGGAGCTCATGCAATACACCAAATTGCTCGTGATGATCTCCTCTTTCATTAGACATTGAGTTTATGGTGTACGTTTTTATATTGAAGCTTCCAGATCCAGTTTTCTGTCCTGACCACCAGTTGGAAACCAGAAAATTGGAAACTTTGTTCAACGAAAAACTGATTAGGAGCTCATGCGATACACCAAATTGCTCGTGATGATCTCTTCTTTCATTAGACATCGAGTTTATGGTGTACGTTTTTATATTGTAGCTTCCAGATCCAGTTTTCTGACCTTAGGAGTAGTAGCCTCCAAATTAAAAATTTGTCATATTTATAACTGCTGTTACTGGAATATTACAGATTAATCTGTAAATGGAGACCATAAAATAAATTATACAACAATATTAGTAAATTTTTTCGTTATATTCATTCAAAATTCTTGTGTTTAAATTTATTTTTTATTTAAATTTATTTATTTATTTTTATCACAGTTGCAAAAAAGGTACTAAATATAAAATTTGGTCGTTCTGTGTCACCCTGTAGTTTTGTTAAAAACGTTGTTATCGAAAATTAGCAACGTTGCTAACTTCACGCAGGTTTTTAACTTTTTGCGTGCGTTAACGCGATAACAAAAAACGTGAACATTCTGTTTAGCCCTTTAGAGTTAAATAAATTTTAACTTTAACTTTAACGCGATAAAAAAACGCATTCTGCTTAGCCCTTAATAAAAAAAAATAATTACTAATTGGTAATATACCATAAAATAAATTTCATGTTTACTTTGTACTGGATTTGGTTAACCTAGTTGGTTAAAATTGTCAATTCCTTTGCATATATGTCAAATAAATCCTCATAAAGTAGGGTAAATTATACGTTCACATTTTACCGGGTATACATTGTCAATTCCATTGCATATATGTCAAATATATCTCATAAAGTAGGTTAACCGGTAAAAATTCGTATATAAATGCCATTTAACACGTTTCTAATGTACATTTCGTTTAAATTCAGATAAAGAGAACTATCATTCAGCTTGAAAATTTGATGTTATTCGTCTCCTGGGCGACCTTATTAATATATATTTGTTGATTTTTGGGTTGAAAACCTGCTTACAGATTCCTAAGTGTTACATATGATAGTTAAAGTATAACGAAAAAAAGAATAATGTTGTCCGAACTCATAAGTAATTTGTCCACAAATCCATACTTCGGCGCAGGATTTGGACTTTTTGGTGTTGGTGCAAGTGCGGCCATACTTCGCAAAGGTTTACAAGGAGGTATCATTTTATTTAGACGTCATCTTATGATAACATTGGAAGTACCATGTCGGGACAAATCATATCAATGGTTATTGCAATGGATTACGGCACGTGCTGCACGTGATACCCAACATCTTAGCGTGGAGACTTCGTTTGTTCAAAAGGAAACAGGAAAAATTAAAACAAAATATGATTTCATCCCTAGCATTGGAAAGCATTTAATGCGGTATAAGGGAGTATGGATGCAGGTCGAACGGTCACGAGAACAGCAAACTTTGGATCTTCATATGGGCGTTCCTTGGGAGTCAGTAACATTAACTGCTTTTGGACGAAATAAAGAGCTTTATTTTGAAATGTTAGAGGAGGCCCGTCTATTTGCATTACAGGCGACTGAAGGAAAAACCATTATGTATACGGCTATGGGGTCTGAATGGAGACCATTTGGGCATCCTCGAAGGCGTCGACCATTATCGTCGGTTGTATTAGATAGAAACATATCTATCAGAATCCTCGATGATTGTAAGGAATTCATTAATAACCCCCAGTGGTATGCTGACAGGGGTATTCCATATAGAAGAGGGTACTTGCTATACGGTCCTCCAGGTTGTGGAAAGTCCAGTTTTATTACAGCTTTGGCAGGGGAATTAGAATATGGAATATGCTTACTAAATTTATCTGAAAGAGGACTGACTGATGATAGATTGAACCACTTATTAAATGTTGCGCCAGAACAATCAATTATTTTGTTAGAGGATATTGATGCAGCGTTTGCGTCACGTGAAGACGTCCAGCAACAAAAAGCAGCCTTTGAAGGTCTAAACAGAGTAACGTTTAGTGGACTGTTGAATTGTTTGGATGGTGTGGCCTCGACAGAAGCTCGAATTGTTTTTATGACAACTAATTATATTGATCGTTTAGATCCGGCATTAATAAGGCCAGGTCGTGTCGACGTCAAAGAATATGTAGGATATTGCTCCAAATTTCAGTTGATTGAGATGTTCAACAGATTTTATCAAAATAGCAATGGTGCCCAAAAATTTGCAGATTCAGTTATTAGCACAGGTAAAAATGTAAGTCCGGCACAAATACAAGGATATTTCATGAGGTACAAAATTTCATCTGAAGACGAGATTATTAACAACGTTAATGAAATATGGAGTAATGATGTTGGAAGATAGTCTCTACTATAACTCATTGTTAAATAAATTTGCCAGTAGCTCTATACTGCTGCGTTTAACTACAGTTGCCATTGTATAATTTTCATGTTTTATTCTAACACCAACAAAACACAAATGAAAACTAATAATATGGATATTTTTAAAAATAATTACATTACGTTTGCTGTAAACCAAGAGTAATCTAATTTGTATAAAGGGCTACATAAATTGTAAATTATAGTAGTTCAATGCATTGATTTCAACAGATTATGTTATAATACTTTTGTAAATTATTATTATACTTGGGGAATCTGTTACTCTATTATCAATACTGTTAAGTTTTTAATTATTTCTACTGATGAAAATTTATATGTTGTTGCTTTATATATGAGTATTTATTGTAATGTAATTACTTGGCTGAAAACAGCTTTTGCATTACTTTGTATTAAATAAAATAAAAAAGTATATTTCTAAGAACACATTTATTTGACTAGTACCTCTAATAAAATTCTAAAATTATTCGAAGAGATAACTGCTTTTGATACTAATTACCGGGAAAAATCAGTTTTGAGATATGGGACTCCGAATTTGGTACTTCCGGAAAAATGGGATATCAAAACACGGACAGAAGTTAATTTTTTCCAAATTCTTTCGGTATTTACAAGAGATGTTCTACGAAGAGGTGGTTACCAATAATAGGCAAGGTTAGTTGGATTAGGTTGAAATTTTAGGACATACACCTAAGCCTGTTGTGCGCTCTAGAGAAGGGAGAAGTCATCTTTGGATTTAGTTTACCTAAACGTCTAGGAATTCTGTTTTGTTTGTGAAGTTCTTTTGCACAGAAAATGTTCTAACGTTTCACTGTCTTCTCTACACGCTCTACACAAGTTGCTTCCTTTGCATTCAATTTTGTGGGTTTCCGTTGCCCATGATCTCAGTTCTAGACGCGTTGCACTAAAATGTTTGGCATTATTTACATCTATTGTGGGTCGGTCGGTATCATCTCTGGCGAGCATATTTGCTATCCAGTTTCCTATTATTCCCATGTGACTCGAGGCAAATATAATTCGTACGAGTCTATGTCGCGAGATATTACTTATGATTTTTATACATTTTAATACGGGTATGGATTTATTTATTATAGTATTAATATTGTAGTAAATACAATGCTAATAATAAAAGTATCTAGCATTGGCTACAATGGCCATCAGCTAAATCGGTTGACAATTCTTAATAATTTTATTAAATAGTAATTTTAAGATGACGTATGTAGTAGGCAGTAGTAGGTGATCGTTGTTGAGGTAGTTGAGGCGGGCTCTGTCGAAAGCGTTGCAAATTTCTAAAATATGTTGTGCTGTGTAGACATTTTCACATTTGGGACACTTGTTGTCAAAACTTGTGTTAATGAGATGTTGGTGTGTGGCAATAGTATGACCCATTCGAAGTCTCGAAAATATGCGCACTGGGGTATGGATTTAACTTTTTAAGAGGTTATAGTTTTTATAACTTATTTGCACTACACTATTTTATTTTTTAGACCTTATAGGTTGAACCTCCGCCTGTAAGATCGTATTTTCATCCGGTAGTCAAAGTGAAATTTCAGTTCAACGAAAAATTCTAGTCCTGACAGCCGCTTCATATTTTATACAATATAGTCTCTAAAATCATATTTGGTGTTGTCGCATTGCCCCACATATACTAAGGCAGCATGATCTCTGATCTATTTGTAACGATTTTACATTACATTTTTGGGGCTTAACTCAAGTTTGGGGCTCCACTCGAAATTGATTCTTGTTTTGTAATGTAAGGATTAGAGAATTCTTTAGCCCATCGTTTTATAAATCCTAACACACCGTGGGCTTTGTTTACCATAGAAATTACATGATTATTAAAATTTAATTTTGGATCCTTTAAAATACCAAGATCAACAAATGAATCTACAGTTGATAAAACAGTACCATTAATATTGTATCGCCTTGTTAAAGCAGAATATCTGGAAAAACACATATGCTTACATTTGTTTAGGTTTAAATCCATACAGTTTAATTCGCACCATTGAAAAAGGCTATTTAAATCATTTTGAAGTAAAACAGCTTGCTTCATAGAGTTATGGGTGATAAACAACATGACATCGCCTGCATACATTAGCAACTTGGAATGGCTTATTGCATTTTGGCAAATCATTTATAAATAGAAGAAAGTGAAGTGGGTCTAAATGATTTCCTTGGGAAACACCGGAAGGAACATTAATGAATTTGGAGAAACATTTATCAAACAAAACTACCTGTGATCTCGTTTCCACGACAGAGGGGTCTATGATACGAAACGACCCGGCCACCGTCTGTCACCTCAGCCCATTGTGTAAAACCAATAGGGATGTTACAACAACCTGTGATCTATTTAGCAAATAAGATGATATCCATTTAACTAAATTTATACTGAAACCAATTTGATTTAATTTATATATTAAAAGTTCATGGTTAACCCTGTCAAAAGCTATACTGAAGTCAGTGTAAATTGTATCGGTTTGATTACGCTGAACAAAGCCTTTTATGACGGTTGAGGCAAATTGTATAAGATTGGTAATGGTTGAGAGGCCACTACGAAAACCATGTTGATATGGACTTAAGATTGTCTGAACTTTATGAGAAATTACATCAGTAATCAATTTTTCGAATAATTTTTAGCAATTCCTCTATAATTCGAGACATTAGTTAAGATGCCAGATTTGTGTAATGGAACTATAAAGGATTTCTTCCAGAAGACGGGAAAATGACAATATTTCAGGGAATAATTAAACAACAGCGTTAAAGGGATAGACAATGTATCTGAACAGTACATTAGGCTAGGAATGCCATTCGGACCTGGACTTTTAATTGATCTTAAATTACGTAGATTTTTAGAAACATATTGACTTTTGGTCTGTTCCAGTACTATTTTAATAGTAAATCTAGTAAAAGGGAAACATTTCAAAATTCCTCTCAGAGTATAAAATAATTTGAAAAGTTCGGGAACGCAAATCTAGTAAATATGCCAAAATTAGATGACAATACTTCAAAATCAACATAACAGCCAATCAGAAGTAGGCATTCCTGTTTACCAATTTTACTCGACCAAATTTCTCGAGTAAAAAGTTTACAAAGAGAATGCCATTTTGTTTTGTGCTCTCTTAAATTTGTGTCAATGTTTTACCAGTTTTGTGGGTTAAGGAACGGTTTTCGTGTAAAAAGTTGTAAAACATGTAAAATGAGTAGATTCTTTTACGTTCTGGAACGGAACTTTTGTAAAAGAGGCATAGATGTTTGATCTATCGTCGATAATTTATAATTATATGTGTCTTTATTTGGACAGGGTGAATATGAATGTTGTAGCGAAAAAAATTGCAAAGCACTCTGAAATTTCAGAGTTTTTTCAAATGTCTGATGGTGGTGGGCTTTGACGTAGCTTTTCTTTTTATATTAACAAAGTCATAAAAAATTTAGGATTGGATTTGAAATTATGTTTAATCTTGTTTAAATAAAGATTGTAAAGTTTTCGAGACTCTGACGTATATTTAGACCTTGCAACAGCATATTAAGCATAATCTATAGAGGAGCCTGATTTTTTATATTTTTTAAAAAGTTTAAGTTTATAATTTTTAATACTTGAAAGCCCAGATGTGATCCATGGATATCTTTCCGAGTTACTAACTCTAACAGTGGAAACACATTCTAGAATAGATCACTATGACTCTCATAAATAAATAATGAGATCCAATTTACGTATGAGATAAGTGCGTTTAGCTATTGAATGTCCGTTTTATTATAATTAGGAACAGATTTAAATGACATTGAAGAATTTTTGGTAGCTAAATTATTATGCATCATGGATATGCATAATGTAGGATGGAAGTTATCTTCGGAAGTACATACTGGAAGTATTCTAATTATTTCAAAATATTTGGTGTGTTCCCGTACTGCAAGAATCTACTACTATAACGAATTTTCCTTTATGATATCGAAGAAAATTATAAAATCGAGTAGATTCTTGCAGTACGGAAACAGACCAATTGTGTATAATTTACAAATACTAGATCCACAATTCGATCATAACAATTTGATATGCTGTTTATTTGATAAAGATTTATGTCGCTAAATCGATTTACAATTTCAAAAGTATATAGGTTTACATTTGTATCAGATGTCTATCTGTCAATGAAAGCCACTTTATGGACGGCAGATTAAAATCGCCGAGAACTAATATTCTGTCAGAGTCATTGTATTTTATGAGTGTTCTTATTAACACTTTGTGGCCCGAAAATTTAGCGGGGCCAATTCCTTTATTTCGAATATGAAGCGATATAAAAATTTTGGCTCTTAACATATGTAATCCAAAAAATAAACATTTTGTTGCCTGTGGGCAAAATTAGGCCATAGAGGGTTAACAATATTTAATTATTCTAATATAAAAATAAAAAAAGAACACAAAAAGTTATGTTTTCGGCTGACTTCATCCCAAAATTATTATCTGATCATCCCCGAAAATTATAGGTGTTGTCCTTGACCATAACTGAAATCTCATGGAAATTTTCAAAGCGATCAGCGCTATATTTCCGCCCTCTAGTGTGGTATTGGGTTACTAAATAATGTCTGAATACGTAAATATTTAAGTTTAACTCCCACATCTGAGTACATATGACCATATAATTGGTATCAATTTAAAGGTCAACCACTCCTCCTGAACACACTATAAACTTCTCGGGTCTTGGTCCTTCAGGGGCAAATATATACGCCATAGAATACAAATTTTGTCATTTTTCACCCAAAAGTCAGGTTTCATTTGACCCGCTAAATATTGACCGATCTCTATCAAAACAGGCATACTTATTCTTTGACCCGATCCCCTTCTCCATGCAAAAATTCGCGGTGTTTGGGCCATAATTGCGGCCTCAGGAGCGACCAGAAAACTCGACAAAAATAAAGTTTTTGGTCCATTTCATTCCCTAAATATTAACCCCTCTTTTCCAAAAAAATATGGGGTCT